GAGAGAGAGAGAGAGAGAGAGAGAGAGAGAGAGAGAGAGAGAGAGAGAGAGAGAGAGAGAGAGAGAGAGAGTTGAGGTCGAGTTGGACATGGATTTGCATCTTTCTTTTTCGATCCTTTTTCATCTGTGTATATAAATTTTGGTGCTGATTACGGGAGAGTCGCCCTTATCCTTTTCCTTCTTTGCGGCCATCTTCGTTTTTTGTTCGATTTGGTTTTATCTCGATGTTTTCCTTTTTTTTTGTTTCCCTCCTCGGGTTCTCCTTTTGTGAATGATGCAAAATGACTCGCGCACACCTTGTATTCTGTTTTTGATTGTCTTTCCGGACTTATGAGATTGAATGGGAATAGAGATTGCATGTTGGTACGATTGAGCAATGTATCGGTCTGTCGTCGCTCCATGGTAGGCTGGCGCGCGCGATCCGACGGGTTGTATGTACCTGTGTAAGTGTGATCCGGACGGAGCACGGCTTACACGTGTCCATACCACCGCGACTCGCCCATCGAGTTCTGACTGAAGTACGGAGTAGCCCCGAACGAAGTTGGGAGTTGATGTCAACAGGGACCGAGTTAATCGTCGCCCGTAGGTGCGCGTAGGGGCGACTTGATCGCATCTTTCTTACGCACTTACGAACGGTGATTTCTCCSGATCAACCTATCTGTAAAAAGTGTATGATGAGAGAATGACGAGCTCGCGAAGTTCCGACGTATCTTGGAATTCTGAGGACTTCGATGCGTATATCGGATATCGGGAATATTGGGAAGAAGAACAGCGTCAGTTAAGAGGGAACCTGAGAAACCCGAAATTTCCTTGTCTCACGGAACGCGATAGAGTATGTGCTAGGGAATTTCACCTCGCCGTGAGAAGTGATCCACGGGGACCTGATTACCCAAACACTTATAATACACAATATTTTATATCCCCCGGCTTCGTCATCGTCGCCCTCAATTTCCCGCCCTATCATCTTCTCCTCCCCTATCATCAGCTCATAGTGGTACCGTGGAACTCCATAGCACCCTATTGGCCGCGAAGTCCGTGCAGGAACTGCAGACGGCATACGAATTCCCGAACCCCCAGGGCCGCGGCGACGAGACATACCCCGCACCAACAGGCGCCACGTGGCGAATCCCGAAGGCCTGGGCCTCAAGGACCGCCTCGCCAGGCTCCCCCGAATCGACAACAACATCGGAACCAACGAGGTTCGCCCGACCGACGTAAATCCCGACCGTCGCCCGTCCTTTCTGGACGGTCCCGAGAAACCAACGCACAAGCCCTCGCCCGTAACTGTCCCCACCGCTTTATTGCATCTATGCCCCCTGAGCTTTGCCACAGGAGATTCCAGTTCCGACCTCGAACTCCACCCCCACTTTCCCAAAAATCCTTGGCACACCCCTTTTCGCACTTCCAGGCCCACACCCCACTCCGATCAGGAAGTTGCGCTGGGCGTGAGGTTGGGCGTCACAGCTCCTGCTCGAGCTAGCGTGGGGAACAGGCTATTTCTGGCCTGTTCTCGAAACCCTGCTTTTGTGCCTGAGTCTTAGGGTCGGTCGAAACGATGAGGGCCTGAAAATGGCCCTCCGTTTCAGGCTGAAAAGCCTCTGGGCTTGAAAGGCCCAGAAATAGGCTGCAAACGGAATAGGGCCTGCAGGCCCTCGTTTTTCAGTTTCAGGCTGAAACGACCGGGGCCTGTAAGCCCTATTTTCTAGGCTTTTAGGCTGAAGGTGCGGGACGGGCCCTGCAGGGCCCGTGTGGCTACGCAGTATGCCACACGCACTCTCGAGTTTGGGGCCGAAATCGGAGGGGCCTCGGACCACTTCTCAAATCCGGTGCTTCGCAGGCGGGGCGATCCACAAAGTTCGAGAGCACTCCCGAGAACCGCATTCTGACCGCTCTCCAAATTCTTTCTGACTTCGATTTTCGGGAGTTGGTGTGACGATGCCACTTCTCTCCAAATAGCTGTTTTGGAGGTAGGTGTGGCGAGGCCCAAATTGTAGTAACTACTCTTGCACCCTTCGCGGACGTGCTGCCACGACACACCCAAACCAAAGTATGGGCCTGGCTCAACTACTCTCCACATGCACAAAAGACAAAAAATGTGGCAATGCATCTTTCCGTGTTCTGTGGGCATAGTCAGTCTCATTTTGCACATCCGGGAAGTAGTGGAGCAAGCCCCTATGGCAAAATATTTCGGTGGCTGCGACGACATTGGAAAGTGGTGGGATCCGAAAACTACACTGTAACCGGGCTGTAGGCTTGGACTCCACTGGCCGGCAGGTGGAAAAGAAGGCTGGCCACAAAATACGGGCAAAGGCATTTGGAAATGAATTGGCGGATTTCTATTGTATCCCACCGCCACCGTGAAAACGGGCACTGGAAACGGTGACACTTTCTCGAAAAGGAAAACCCGAAGGGGTCCCTCCTGAATAGGTAAGTTCCGTAAGGACTGTCCATCACAAAATTGTCCTCTGCACCGTCTATTGGACCACACCCTCCCGCGATTGGACTACACCCGCCTGGCCTCCGATGCCATCGGAGGACATGCCCCCCCCCGTCTCAGCTGGACATACTGTTTGGAAAACCTCTGGAAAGACTTCGTGGTGAATTTCTTGACCGCCCACCATGTAGAAATGCCCCGTCAGCATTTTGGAAACCTCCTTCCATACACAGTGGGGTCTGAAATTCCTTTCCAGAAGGACTTTCCATACCGGTTTTCCACACCGGTGGGGTCTGGAAAACAGTGCGGCGCCCAAAGTTTTCCAGGCCGCCGGGCAGTGGGGTCCACCTCGTAGTGTAGTGGTGGGATCAGATTCGGGAGTGGAGCTGGAAGGGACAAACGGCTTCTGCCAGACTGCTTCACGATGATCGTGTCCATATGTGGCAAATGACAATTTCAGACTTTGAGGGCTGCCGGGTCGGGAGTGTAGTGTGGCGAAAGGCACTCCCGAGCGGGTTTTCAATTCCGGGAGCACTCCCGAAAATCTTCCCAAGTCGGGAGTGGTGTGGCAATGCCCATTGTTCTGATTTTGAAAATGCCAATTTGGCCATGATGTCCAAGCGATGCTGGACCTAGTTTTCAGCGGGGGCAGCTCCCGACCGATAGAACGGGGCCATTCCAAAGCGAGGCTCCAATTCATGTCAGTCACACCCCCTCCTATAGCAGCCCCAGAAATACATGCTTTTCGTCCGAAAAAGAGAACAGGGGGATACATAGCTCCGGGGTGACGTATGCTTGGGGGGGGGGGAAGAAAGCGACAGATTGAGCACCATTGTGATCAGAGAGATAGATGTTCACAATCCGAGATCAGCGTTAGGATGAGGGACGGACTTGGGAAGGGGCAGAGAAGAAGACATTGGGAAGAAGTGCATGGTGGGGAATGGGGAGAAGAGAGACATGATGTTTGTGGGTACTGAAGACTCCTGATCTGATTATTACTCTCTCTCTCTCTGTAACCGTGTCTGCTTCTTCTAGCCTTCGTTTTCTTAGGGCCTTGCCACACCACTTTCGAGATGTGAAAACGACATAAATGCTGCGGGTGCATCTGGCCATGTTCTAGCGGTAAGCTCATTCTCAGTTTGCACATTTCCAGAGTGGTGTGGCGATGCCCTTGATCATGGATAATAGCAGATCATGTAGTAATATAGAAAAGAGAAAACTACGGCGCAGTCAGGGTTCGAGTTTGAAAAAACTGTTTTCGTGACTGCGCCGAAGTTACCCCTATAGAAAACCAGATAATCCAACAGAGCGGGGCTACTGTTCGAAAGACCTGTTCATCAATGCCGTATTCAACAAATTGCGGAGCAGTCACGGCGTACATACACGCCATTCTTAATGAGGCACCGCCAACATTCGTCCAAAGTCTATCCTAGCCTACCAACTTCCGAGGAGTCATCAAAAACAAAGAACACTTCTTAGCAAAATCCAATCCAACCTCCACCCCCCAACTTCTAAGCAGAACGATGGACGCAGGAAAACACGCCTGCAGTTCCTTGGATCCTGAGATAGCGTCTCCTTCTCATGTCGTTTTCTGCCTTGCTCCCCTCTCCTTCCCATGTCGCGGCTTCTTCTTGTGTGCTGGTGCCAAATGTGAGATCGGTGGTAAGAAAGTGACAAATGCGAGATAAATGGCAACAAGGTTGCAAAAGATTCGCCAAAACATCGACAAACCCTCGAAGGCTATCCTCCCCTGCCCCGCTACCCGACATCCCCTTTCCCTTCCCTCCCCACCACCTGCACTCTCACCACCGCGGTGGCTATCCGAACCTCCTCTCGCAGTAAACCGTGCGGCTTTGATTAGGCTGCCGCATGGTGAGCCTTACTATCTTGGGAGCTGCTTCAGAATTCGCTTGGTCAGGGCTGACATCAAACTCGTCTGAGCGGTCTCTGGCATCTGCAAGATCCTCTTGTGCCGGGCTGTGGAGAAGGGCTGAGTAATCGTCGATAACTTCGAGTAAACCCTCGAAGGCTGGAGTCGAGCCCGGACCACCATCTTCCTCGCTCTTATGTTTCCACTCTCGGAGGCGGGCCCAATAACTTTGCAGGAATGGCCTCATCCTAGCCTCATGATTCGGGACAATTAGGCGAAGAAGTTTTTCAATCACAGCGGCGCTGTTCGACCTGATGTCGCCCACCCACTGGTCCGACAGTGCGTCTAATCTCAGCTGAGTTGGCAGCTTAAAAATGCCCGGGCGGTATCGAAGAATCCGGAGGAGGCGTCCAAGGATGCTGAGCAAAGCACTCTCCTGGCTTAAGATCTTCTCTGCAGGATAGCAGTCACAAACAGACACCTGAAGGAGGCGAGTAACGTTTCGAAGTGCGAGAAGAGTATTGACAGTGTCCTCTAGAGCCTCCAGCCCGTCCGTGTTGACCGCGCAACTGTGGTCGTAAAGGCTCTCTTTCAGTGTACAGGCAGGTCTCCATGCAGGATTGCAAATTGGGTCGATTATTCTGAGAAAAAAGATAACCCAGTATCTCTTCAGCTGAGAGTCTTCTGACCTCACTCTCTCGACACGGAAACGGCGAAGTAGAACGGAGAAGAATTCCAGCGCGTGGTCGGGCAAGGGTGTGTTGCACCCGGAGTCGCAAAATCCCGCGAGTGCATCGGCAGCGAGTCCAGCCGCAGATGGGTCGCAGTGCTCGAAAGCAAACCAAGTCCCTGCTTTGGTCGAGGAACGCCTGTCCCCATCCTGGGGGATGCGAGCAGGAAGATCTGCTGGCACTTGACCGCAGTTCGATACCCCGCTCGACGAACGATGGTTTGCAAATTTGCAGCCTTGGATGTCCTGGATAAATTGCCAATCACCATCTGCACATGGTTTGGCGATGGCCTTACAGATGGCTCGCCTAGGCGAGGGCGAAGAAGTAGCGATGAGGTCGCGGAGCGTGTCCAATACCTCGCGGGTGAACCAGTTAATCTCTCTCTTGCCACGCACCTTACTGCAGTACGCCAGACATTGCAGCAGAAGCTTTGCCACTTTGTTATCCATGTCTCTGATGTTCTGACAGATGAGGATCTTGGCTAAGTGCAGCTTGGAGAAAGCGGAGAGATCTGCTTTCGCTTTCTTTCCACAGCAGCGACGAATCAACCCCTTCACAGCAGCCTCTACCTTGGACGGGTGTGGGAGGCTTTCTATGGAGCACAGCGGGTCCGGAAAGTCCATCAGTCTCTTGTCGAACCGATGCCAGTAGACCATCCTCGGGCACAACAGGTAGGCAAAGATCCTGATGGAGTCCGCCACGAGATTCGGCGATGGTGACTTTCTCTTCCCCACTCTTAGAAAGTCCAGTAGAACCCTCTCCGTTTTGGGGCACATCAACTCGGCCAATATCCACCCGATGATCGCTTCGTATGTCCGTCCGCCGAATTTGGGTATGGGCGTCTCCAGCGGCCAATCCCCCGGCCCAAGTGTGGAGAATGCATTGCAAAATCTGCTGCTCGGTACATCGGGCTCCATCGCCAACCAGCCTCTGTGCGCATGCAGCTCGCTGGCAGCATGTGCGAGGGAACATACTGCGGAAAGCGCGCTCTCTTGGAGACGCAGCTTTCCCTTCCCCTCGTCGTCTTCATCTTCCTCCTCGGCAGAAAGCTCCTCCAGCTCTCTCTCATCCTCGACAGCCTCTGTGTTGCGGCTAGTGCGGCGCTTGCGTGCGCACTGATCGACTATGCGGACCAGTTCCTCGACCAGCTCGCCTAAGTGGTTAAGCCTATCAGGAAGGAAGCCCCAAGTATAATCTCCATCCCTATCGTTTCGCCATGGCTGCCAAGGGATCACAGCAAGGCCCAAAGCCAGTCGAGCGGGGATGGATGCGGCGAGTCGAGCCTCTTCCACACCCACGGAGCTCGTTGTGGACCGGAGAACCTTCAGCACAAGACTGTACCCCATGTTGCCGAAGTCCCGACCAACGTCGACATGTACGGAGAACCGGCTTGCCTGGGGTATATCCTGAACGACAGCAGCCATCTCGTCCCCGACGTCCGTATTCTTTAACCCTGATAGCTCAGAAAGCGCCTCCAATGCCATAGTCAGCTTCCCTCGATTCCCCCTGCCGGGGTTCGCGGAACTAGATTCCAAGCTGTCTACCGCCAGGCTAGGCAAGTTCAGCAAAACAATGTGCTCCAGTTTTTGCAAGTCCTGAAACCAGTACGCCGGCAATCCGCACCTGTCCGGATTATGCTTGGCGTCCTCGGCGGTGAAGTAACCGTGATCAGTGAGGTGGCGCTGGTAGATGAATTCGAGCTCCATTTTGCGCTGATTCCTCCATAGCCGCTCCCAAAATGGACCTTCACGCCGCTGAACTTCCAGAACTTGAGGATGTCCCGGAGAAGAATAATCAATTTTCCAGACATTTTGCAGTTTTCCTGGGCACAAAATCCGATAGTAAGGACCAGCTACATCAACAACTAACATCGATATATGGAGAGTCACAACACCGACAACCATGGAATGACACGCTTTCACATTTGTGTCCTTCCACTCCGTTTCTTTTACTTCGACGGCAAAAAGGCCTTTCTTAGCGTTAACGAACGGAACGACGAAAACCCATTCAAGGATGAACGCTAGAACTCGCAGAAGCATGCAGAAGCGAAATACCCCACGGCGCACAATCACTCGACCTTCTAAGATGCGCTCGTCAAAAGAGAGAGAAGGGTGATATTCCGGAAATCCCCGAGATAGAATCCGAGCGCAAGACGTACCAGCCCAACATTTGGACTGAAGGTTAGCCACAATACTGGACGCAGCTACAACCACAACCAGAACGAGGGCAGAACGTACAAGTTCTGGGGGCAGACTCGAGCCCAAAGCGCCCAACTCCAAGCCAATCAATGCGACAGCCGCGTACGATAACCCACTCTCTACTATGTACCACATACGGCCTAGCTTCATACTATGACGCTTCTTCAGCGACAACACGTAAGCCATTTCAGCTGACTAAATCGAGTATACAAAGAACACTCTTCGCCGCCCTGCCTCTGAGTCTGAAAGTCTAGGAAAACCTACTTGATTAATCTCTCCATGCACTCATGGGTCGATTAAGCATCTCTCTCTCTCTCTCTCTCTCTCTCTCTCTCTCTCTCTCTCTCTCTCTCTCTCTCTCTCTCTCTCTCTCTCTCTCTCTCTCTCTCACGAATCTGTCTCCGCGTCTGTGTCGACATCCACCTTCCCTATGTCTGTACGAAGAACACTCTTCGCCGCCCTGCGTCTAATCCAACAGTCTAGAGAACCCAGTGTAATTAACATCTCTCTCTCTCTCTCTCTCTCTCTCTCTCTCTCTCTCTCTCTCTCTCTCTCTCTCTCTCTCTCTCTCTCTCTCTCTCTCCCTACCCAGATACTCATGAATCTATTTCCTTGTGTCGCTGTGTCACCCTTCCCTCTCCCTGAACCAGACGTTTATGCCATACATACTCTCTCTCTCTCTCTCTCTCTCTCTCTCTCTCTCTCTCTCTCTCTCTCTCTCTCTCTCCCCACACCCCTGAAAACTCATGAATCTCATTCGACCTAGATAATCATGAATCTGTCTCGACCGCGATACTCATGCACCTCCTTTCGCGTGTCTTTGTGTCATTCCCTCTCTGTGTACCCTAGGTCATACTGCCTTACGCTGACCGCCGTCTCTCTCTCTCTCTCTCTCTCTCTCTCTCTCTCTCTCTCTCTCTCTCTCTCTCTCTCTCCCCCCCCCCACCTTCGTTTCTACCTAGATACTCATGCGCCTATTTCCGTGTGTGTGCCACCCTTCGCCTTCCCTCTCTGCGAACCCGACATTTAGGCCAAACTCTCTTTCGCTCAGTTCCTCCCCTCCGCCCACCCCCCCCTCTCTCTCTCTCTCTCTCTCTCTCTCTCTGACGCCCACACACACTTCTCTCGTCCACTTTCTCTGATCCCCGCGTTGTTGTCTCGCGCCTTTGTCCAGTCTGCTCCTGGCGGTCAGTGTCGGACGGGGTATGTCTACCTCCGTCTCCGTCTCTGACCTCTCTAACGGCCTCGCTCCAGTGGTTTCTCCTTCCAGTTAGCAGTTGGTTCCATTCACGCTGTGGGGAAGATTATAAACTCGGTTCCCCTCGCTCCGCCTGTGCGTAGCGCACGAGCGTGGTCTTTGTTGCTCCCTTGCTCGCTCGTCGGTCGCGCACTACCTGATTCCTGCCACCGAGTTAGGGCCTCGCCACACAGACTTTCCAAACGTACAAAAGACAAAAATGTTGCGAGTGAATCTAGTCGTTTTCTAGGAAAAAGTTCGTTCTCTTTTTGCACGTTTCGAAAGCCTGTGTGGCGAGGTCCTTTCTCATGGTGGGTATTTCTCTCGTAAACACGCAAGGGAGTACCCACCAGTTCCTGCCATCCGATCTGAACATCTCGCGGCCCCTGAAATATACTCCACGGCGTAGCTGGGTGCAGCGGGCCTTCATCTGCCCTGGCCTACAGCCAGGGCATATTTGGCTATTTGCCAGTTCGGCCTGTGGGACCAGGCCGTGGCCTGACCCCACAGGCCGTATATTGTTTCAGTCCAGTCCAGTCCCGCCCGGTACCACGGTCGGTACCAGG